TGATCTGGATGATGAAGACTTTGAGGATGAGACTCCCAAGAGGCGAGGGAAGAGCAAGTCCAAGGTTAGTGTTCTGTTTCTTCACTGATGGATTGCCAACTGTAAGTCCAAACTGATATGTTTAAAATATTAACTTGGCCAACATTTGATGTTACATCTTTCTGACAGGAAATAAAGAAATCTTTACAATAAAAAAAAGAAAAACGTGACCAGATGAGCTGCTGATAATTCAAGTCATCCTTTGTCTTATTTGCAGTCAGCGTAATGTGTTTTCAATGTTGTCATTTTTAATAATACAGTTATTTTATTAATCAGCTCATCATTTGTCTTACATAATTAAAACAGTGATAGTTGATAGATAACTGAATTAAAACAACTTACAACAACAGCGCTTACAGTTACTACTTAAGTTGCAATGCTTATAGTTCTCAATCTAAAGTTTTTCTTAAACACACTTTTTTCCATGGATATTGTTTGATCTCTTCAGAGATACAATATGAAACATCACTGGCTTCTTTAGTCTGATTGACTGACACTGTTCTGTCATTCAGACACAGATACGGTTGGCCATTATGCTTCTGATACATGAAGCTGACACTCTTATCGAAAGGCATATTTAACTGAAAGGGGCTTTTCTTGTTCAGCTGGTTCTCCTGTGTAAGAGTTTATTTTTGTAATTTTGATTTCTCCAGTGAACCAATTTCACAAAATGTTCAATTCATTTTCATTTCCCAAAACATTTTGATCTGTACCAATCGTCATAAATGCACTTGCTTCTCATTATTGTTTTTCAAAACCGTTAAAGGTGATGTATGCAAAGTAAGTTGTGTTGTTTAAGTTGGTCTGTTTGTTGGTCTCAACTGTGCAATTTGTTGTTCAGGGCCGCAGTGACAAGAATGGCAAGAAGAAAACGGAGGCCGCAGCTGCAGCACTGGAGGAAAGGGATAAACCTTACGCCTGCGACAGTGAGTATTAGCTTTCTGTGTAACGTGTTTGTGTGCGCCATGCATGCCAGCAAGAGAGGCTTTTGCTTTTCCCCTCTTAAAAGACAAAGATGAGCCTTGTGCCATGCATGGAGTCATCTGAGAGATCCCACCTGGAACTAAAGTTTGACGACGCAGAAGTTGAAAAAGTTGCTCGCCTTGATGCGTTGTCTTTTTTTTTTCTCTCCCTTATCCCTGAGATGCTGCTTCGTGTGCTCTGTAACTTCCTGTTGGCCACAGCTCACTGTGCAAATGCTCTCCTTCGCTGTATGAGTTTGCTACTAGCGTGTCCGTCAACAATTAATCATATGAAATGAAGTTCGTTTTTTTAAATGTTTTTTCTTTTACTTGGTTTTGAGGTGGTGAAAGGTGCACGCCCACCTTGTTTCCAACTTGGGCCTTTTTGGACGGTAGTTAAAATTCGCTGCCACAACTATAACACTTTTGTATGAACGTGTGTGTGTGTGTCAGTTTGTGGGAAGCGCTACAAGAACCGTCCTGGCCTGAGCTACCACTATACACACTCTCACCTGGCAGAGGAGGAGGGCGAGGACCGCGAGGAGATCGAGGCACCACCCACTCCTCGCCAGCCTGAGGAGCAGAAGAGTGAGTCACTCTCTAGTGCTGAGAGAGAGAGAGATGGAGAGAAAGAGGGGAGGGAGGTTTGGTTGCATGCTGTGTAGCATGTGTGTGTTTGTTCAAGGGAAGTCTCTCTCTCATTCTTTTTTTTTTTAAATTTTTTTTGCTCTTTTCATTTTTTGATTTTCATTATTTCAGATCCCAAATTTGGAGGCATTCCTGATTGAAATGTGCTTGCACAGTTGGGACTTTTGGCTTCCCCCCCTTTTTTTTTAAAGCATATCATCCAT